GGCTCGCGCCCGACGCCGTCGTTCTGCATCATTGGCGCGCAAAAGGCAGGCACAACGTCGCTCTACGACTACATCACGCAGCACGACCTCGTGGTGCCGGCCAACCGCAAGGTGCGTCGCCTCTTTCGTTCTCGTCGTTGATAGATTGATATATTGTTGATGTTGGCAGGAAACCCACTACTTGGACTGGCGCTTCGATTCCAAGCTGCCGCCGATCGAGACACCGGAAGGCCAGGCCGCGCATTTGGCCATGTACCAGCGCTTCTTCCGCATGGACATCCTCGGTCCGTGTCCGTCTGTGCTCTCGGGCGAAGCGACGCCGAGCTACCTCCTCGGCGGCTCGGTCGTCATCCAGCGCTTTCAAGCGCTCATGCACGGCGCCAAGATCCTCGCGACGTTGCGCAACCCCGTGGACCGCGCCTTCTCCCACTACAACATGACGGCGGACCCGGTCGGCAACGCCGAGCAGCTAAAGAACCGGTACTGGAAGCGTCGTCTTGTAGAGAGTGCAATATATGTATCCTGTGCATAGTGGCCACCATGCGCTCGGTGGCAAGAGCTTTGAGCAAGTCGTCGATGCCGAAATCGCCGAGCTCCAGGCGCTCGGCGTGCACCCCGACATGTCGTTTGACGAATTCGATCGCGTCTACCTCCAGACGCGCCTCTCGTTCACGCACGGCGGCCATTCGTTCATTGGTCGAGGTGCGTCAACTATCAACGTATCAAGTAAACAAATCGGAAACGTTGATCGTAGGGCTCTACGCGCTGCAGCTCAAGGGCTGGTTTGAAGCCTTCCCGAAGGACCAGCTCCACATTGTCAACATGGACGACATGAAGACGTCGACGGGCTTGCACGTGCGCTGCCTGTATGTGTCGAATCACATTGCTGACACATTCCGTAGGCGGTGATGCAGGACGTGTTTGCCTTCTTGGAGCTCCCGCCCTACACGATCGAAGACAGCAGCGCCAAGAACACGCGCGCGTACGGCGCGTTGCACCCAGACACCCGCGCGCGTCTTCAGGCGTTCTACGCGCCCTTCAACGAAGCGCTCGCGGATATGCTTGGCCGCCGTTCGTTTGCTTGGTAGAAGACTTGCCTCAAAAAATGATTTTCCATACCTCGCCATATCGACGTGCTTTGGTACACTCGTGGACGGGCTTGGCTCGAAGGTGTCTTGGTTGGTTTTACGAGGGACATGTTGTACTGGACGCGAGTCCCAGCTGCTTGTCTTCCTCCGCGGTTGGTCTTCACAGTATCGGACAAAGGCGCAGGAACTGCGTCAACAGCCTCGGTCCTAGCGCCAATTCGAAGTCTGCTTTGAAAACATCAAGCCGTGAACGCTTCGACATTGTGGTGCTCTCGTTCGTTCGTGCTCTTGTTGAGCGAATGGAGCCGCTTGCAGTCTACTACTTGGCCCCACGAAGAGTTAATAACGACATGGCAGTTTGTTTGGCACCCTCAAAAGTGTGCAAGTTGATGCCCACAACAAGAAAGCAAGTAGTAAGACGTCTATTACGCCGCCACGTGCACAAGGTACTCGACGGGGAAGAAGACGGTGAGCGGTCGCTGGCCGTCGCGCTCGAGAATGAACCGAAACCGGTTCAGATCGTACATGCCAGGGGCACCAAAGACCGCTGTGAGCGGCACATCGACACGCGCCCCGGGCGGCAGCGCGTTAAACGTTCGTCGCGTGACGCCGGCCCAAAACACGCGCGCACTTGTCGTGGTCGCCGCTGCCGACGCGCGGACGCTCGGGTGCTCTTCTTCGGGCACGAGCGTCTCGAGCGTAAACGTAATCGGCGGCGACGACGCCGCCGCGTCATTGCGCAGGTGCAGCGTCATGGGCACCGCACCAAGCCGCACACTCGGCGCAAAGTCCAGTGTCATCGTCAGCGGACACGCGTTGGACGATGACGTGTACGGCGTGCGCACTTGGACATTGAGGACGCTCGAGTGCCCGAGACAGCGCTTCCGCTGGAGGCCATTGACGACGGGCCCCGTGCCCGCCCACTGCACGACCACATGCAGATCCATCTAGTTTTACGTGAACCTCGTGTCGGCAGAAGATAG